CACAAGCCGTTAAATAAGTTCCTACAATTTTCCATGTGGTGCTAAAAGAAGAGGATTTTGTCAGAAACAGTAGTGCACGAAATCAAAAAACCTCACTACATCAAAGCATGATCTGTATGATACGATTGTGCCGCCTCGTATGTGCAGGTTAAATTACTGCCACCGAAATACTTATTATTCGATTAACGGTACAAAAGGACTTTTGTGAAACCTTGTCACGACGATGCGTAAAACAGGACGGTTAGACAAGGAGTGACAAGATTTGCTCAAACATGGATTTAGTACAATGCCATAGAAATATAATATGCTGATACAGAGGATGTTAACATGTGAACTTCAAGGCGCGAGATAAGATTCCAAAGCGTAGCGACAATGCTAGCAATAAATACAAGTACCAGGTAATAATTATAATATTATACAGGGTGATGATGGATATAACTTTCATATTCAGCGCTCCAAATTACCTCATTGTGCAAAGCTCCGCTCTCATGTAGCCATGGATAGTAAAAATGGATTTTTAGCACCTTAAATTCGCAAAAAACGCCTAGTTTTGCAATTTTTCGCTAAGTAATTAGATCTACATCATAAACGGGGTCACATACATATAAAACGACCTCGGATTCGATATGGGCAGCCCAAATACATGGAATAGGGTCATTTGAACCGCATTTAAAGCATTTTAACATATAATTACCATGTATAGGGGTATCCTTACCAAAAAGTCACAAAATGGGTCAGTCGGGAACGTGAACGCAACATATCTTATAATACGCTTTTTGGTCGCTGAAATCGAATCCATGGCCCATTCCGTCCGAAAATGCCTCGTTTCAAGATACTGACAAGAATTCAACTTGTCAAAAAACGACTATTAAAAAATTTCTAAAAACCTTGAGCGTCTATGATCGAGATGGAAACTTGTTTTCTGGGGAATCGGGTGCGTAGATTCCAAATACGATTCGATACATCGCTAGAATTTACGGCTAGCCCGGAAAATAGTTTTCGTCAACTTTTCACCCTAAATTCCGTCTGATAACACTTAAGAAATTTTTCACTGTGATATTCATATTCAGCATCCCAAATTACCTCATTGTGCAAAGCTCCGCTCTCATGTAGCCATCGATAGTTAAAAATGGATTTTTAGCACCTTAAAGTCGCAAAAAACGCCTAGTTTTGTAATTTTTCGCTAAGTAATTAGATCTACATCATAAACGGTCACATACACATAAAACGACCTCGGATTCGATATAGGCCCAAAATACGTGGAATAAGGGTCATTTGAACCGCATTTAAAGCATTTTAACATATAATACCATGAGGGGTATTCTTACCAAAAAGTCACAAAATGGGTCAGTCGGGAACGTGAACGCAACATATCTTATAATACGCTTTTTGGGTCGCTGAAACCGAATCCATGGCCCATTCCGTCCGAAAATGCCTCGTTTTCAAGATACTGGCAAGAATTCAACTTTGTCAAAAAACGACTAATAAAAAATTTCTAAAAACCTTGCGCGTCTATGATCGAGTTGGAAACTTGTTTTCTGGCAAATCGGTTGCGTAGATTCGAAATTCGATGTCGATACATCGCTAGAATTTACGGCTAGCCCGGAAAAATAGTTTCTAGTCAACTTTTCACCCTAAATTCCGTCTGATAACACTTAAGAAGTTTTCACCATGATATTCATATTCAGCGTCCCAAACTACCTCATTGTGCAAAGCTCCGCTCTCAGTAGCCATCGATAGTAAAAATGGATTTTTAGCACCTTAAAGTCGCAAAAAACCTAGTTTTGCAATTTTTCGCTAAGTAATTAGATCTACATCATAAACGGGATCGCATACATGTAAAACGACCTCGGATTCGATTAGCAGCCCAAAATACGTGGAATAAGGGTCATTTGAACCGCATTTAAAGCATTTAACATTTAATTACCATGTAGGGGTATTCTTACCAAAAAGCACAAAATGGGTCACTCGGGAACATGAACGCAACATATCTTATAATACGCTTTTTGAGTCGCTGAAACCGAATCCATGGCCCATTCGTCCGAAAATGCCTCGTTTTCAAGATACTGGCAAGAATTCAACTTTGTCAAAAAACGACTAATAAAAAAATTCTAAAAACCCTTGAGCGTCTATGATCGAGATGGAAACTTGTTTTCTGGGTAAGTCG